AGGAGACTGCTGAGGGTCTCATTTAAGGCCGCTTCGTCTACCCGATTTAAACCGAGTGAGATGAAATCATGGCCTAGCAATAAAGGGAGTATCAGATTTTCCAAATGTCTGGATGGCATTAGGGTCTTTTACTATGAAGAGATCAAGAGTAGTGTGGGAAGGGGGATTTATATCAAGACATGAATACGATGTGGAGGTTGTGTAGACCAACGAGAGATCTCAAAGCTCGAGCATCAGGCAGAGAGCCAGAACTTAGGTCTACGTTAAAATCACCGGTAATGATGATATTTCCGTACAGGGGGAGGTAAGTGGCCAGGTAGTTGAAAAAATGTGTGGGAGAGCATGCAGAAGGACGTCTGAATACCACCGCCATCAAAAGCTTGGTCTTGTCGGACTTTATATCTCCAAGGATGAATTCAGGCGTGTTATCAAAAACTGTATCTGAAGTAGCTAGGAAACTAAATTTTAGATAAGATCTGACGTACAAGCCAACCCCGCCGCCCTGCTTTCCAATTCGGTCAAACCTGAAAAAATTGAAATTGGGGAGGGAGAGGTGTGAGTCAGAGATATCAGGTAAGGGGAAGGTTTCAGTAATGGCTATATCATCAAAATGTGTAGAAAAGGCTTGTGCTTCGAGAAGAGCAAAATGACTGGAAGAAGTTAGTCTATTTATATTGATATGGCCGATAACGAAGGAAGTAGAGGGCGGGGTATGGTCCTGGATTAGTTGACATCACGGACCAAAAACTGGAAGAGATGAATTTGGGATAGATTCAGATAGCTGAGTTGGAAAGACAGACACTCTCGGGCTAAAACAACCGTCGGTTATGTTAACTTGCGGAGCAGCGTTTTTTGGGATAACGGTAGTGGGTCACTGTTTGACAACCTGGGGCGCGAAGTTAAGGTTGAGTGTCGCATGTTTTCGAGTGCCGATGGGAGTGGCGGCCACTGACATGGCACTAGAGCGCGGAGCGGCCGGGACAGGAGGCTGGACGGGAGGCAAGGGCATATAGCTGATATCGCTCTCTGATATTATAGGGATAGGTGTGGAACGCATGTTTTCCCGCATATGGGTGACCATACCCGAGACGAAAGGGTGCGCGAAACCCAGCTCACGACTACGCGCAAGCGCCTTCACAAAAAAATTTTGGATCGGCTGGGGTTACAGCTGGCGGATAAAGACAGAATTTTCAAGACCGCACCACCGTTAAGTCGATACGAACAACGAAAGCTGACGTAGTATCATGCGTCTGACCTCGCAGGGCAGTCTTGGTCGAGTTGGGACGTGAACGAGTGGCAGTCCATTTTCTGGTGGCCGCTGTGCGACCCCTAGCGTTTGGGAAGCCAATCGTCTCGAAGAGCATACCGGCAGCATCTTCCAGCGAACCCTGAAACTCCTGCGGAAGGCCCAGAATAAGGAGCTCGTAGGGATCCTTGAGACCCACGACAAATTTAAGGCTCTTCACTTCGTCGTCGACACGATAGACTTTGGTTAGGATGAAAGTCTGGGTTGCTCTAATCTCGTTTCGAAATTCGGTAAATTCATTATTCACGAAATCGGAAAACCATGCTTGCGCTTTGTCGTCCGTGGTAGGAGCCATGCTATAGAGCAAGCAGATTTGGTCCGCACTGGGTGAAGAAACGGTGAGAAGGGCAACTGATCGGTCAGTATTAAAAAAATCACTCCGGGATTCCACCTTCAATGTCTTCGACGGGAAAAGCTCGTAAGGTGATGTCTGTCTCTTTCGGTCTGAGGTTTCGACGAAAGACAAAATGCCAGCTGAAGCAAAGTCGATTTGAGTGGAAGGAGGGGATTGTAAAAACACGCCACCGGATTAACGAGAGTTGGTCAAGACCACAGTCTTAGTAGAACAGGTATGGCAAATAAAGGTCGCAAGGTCAGGGTTTAAGGTAATATCGGAACAGTGCTGATGGAAAGATCTATCACAGGCCTCGCACTGCAAGATATTATCACCCCGATAACTCAGTACTTTACCACACCCGACGCATAAAAACAAGACCATGTGATAAAAGTGAGAAGTTTGGAATTTAAAAACAAGTTAAGACAAAAAATAGAAATTCATAGATTGTGTCAAAAAGTTTCCCATTTCTCCTCCCCGGGTCTCAAAACTTCACAAGAAACTGTAATAAACGAAGTAATTTGAAAGGAAAGATTAATACGACAAAATGAAAACTTTGAATTTCGCGCGAAAATTTGAGTCACCGACCAGTCATAAACGGGAGCTCTGATAAGTCGGGATTTAAGAGATTTGAAAATTGGTGCCTCAGTGGCACCAACTCAGTTAGTTAAGGATCAAAATATTGGCGGGAGATTCAGGAATAAAATGATGCCATTTACAAGAGGCGGTAAAGGGATTCGCAAATTAACCTAGAAATGACTAAAACGCAAAATAAACAAGTAGCTTATACGCAAAAATGAAATGAGAAAAAATGAATTATGAACCGAACGCAGAAAATTACATTACAAATTAAATGAATGGTAGAAAAGGAAAAGCGATTTGACACAGTCGATCGAATAAAAATAAAATTAAAAACGAAATTAAAATTGCCTAGCGTGTAGATAGCGCTAGATAAAAATACAACAAAATTAAATTAAATAAAACAAAACAAGATGTTGAACATTCTAAATGCGCCCAACGCTGGCCACTATGCCCCGCCGAGAGAGGGGAAAGAGGAAAAATACTAATCGAGAGCAAGCGCAGCGCTCTCTTTCGTCACCCTCCCTTTCAAAGCCAAAGTTCGCACCTGCGAACGGCTTAACTCTTATCCTTCACCATCTCTCTCTCTTGACTGGCAGCTGGCAAGCAATAATTGAATTTACCTATTACCTTAAATATAACTTAAGGGAGTATGGTGGCTAAGACTATTAAAAATGAGAATTGCTTGTAATTTGGATACAATGTGTATTATGGTTCACTTAAGCTATGGTTCAAGTTTCGTGACCCTTCAGAGCTTCAAACCAGAGAAATTAATGTTTAAAATTAACACGTGATCTTATGGGAAAACGCTGTTTTTTTTTATTATAAAGATATTCAAAAATGAGAAAATTATGAAAAAATTCTGAGGGACGTAGAAAAAAATACTGAATCCATTGGTGCTTTCAAAACTATCAATCAGAGCCTGTAACAAAAGATATTGACTAATTTATATCGTAAATTTACGATTTTCGTCAATGAATTGACGACGTGGCAACGTCGCATGTACTTCATGTGCCTCGGTATAGGCGGAGACAGCGAAGCTCATTTTTTTATTAAAAATTATTCTGTTCATGTTAATAAAATTTTTTTATATCATATTAATAAAAAACTCCACATTTATTAATTTAATAAACATTTTATTTATTATATTAAATAAATAATAATTATTACGAAATAACAGTAGTTAAATTCTTTTCTAACGTAACATCTCTTTGTTATTAAAGTGTTTATCATTTTCATTATTATTGTTAATAGAGTCTAGATAATCACATAATTTTCGAATAATTTTTTTATTTTTTGTTACTTGTCCTTTGGATAATAGCTGATAAAGGCCATCAAATTTATTTTGTTTGTATGCTGTTTCAATCATTTTATAATCAATATTAGCAGCTATGATTTTTCTTTTCATTCTTAGTGATAAATCGTTATTTGTCAATTTTTCAAACTCTTTTAATTCCTGAAGAATATTGGCTTTGTTTGCTTTCTCTTTTTCTTTCTCAGCTTCTTTTTTTTCGATCATATCCCAAGTAAGTACTGATTCTATCAAACTACTATCACATATTTTAAAGTGCAATAAAATATCATGCAACATTATCACATCAGCAACAGCATTACGTGCATCTTTAGTTTCTAATTTACAAGCAGCTGCAAGATTCTCTAATTTATTTGCACCCCTACCCTTTTCTTTATTACACTTAGATATGAGTGGCAATGTGTTCGAAAATCCTTGAACCACTGATTTGAAGCGATCCATCATGAAAACTTTATTTATAACAATAATAAGTCTTGGATAATCGAATTTACAATTATGTGCAGTGCAACGATTACCGAAAATCGTTCGACTCGCGCGAGGTTAATGAGCGGCTGAACGAGAGAAGCCGCGATCGGTTCGCGAGAGAGAGAGGGCGCGTAGGGGCAATGACCGGGAGGGGAGCGTTCAACAGGCAGTATGACTGTGTCACTCAGTCCACCTGTATCGTGGAGCTAACCCTTTTCCGTGCCTTCAACGCGTTTTCGTTTGGTGGTGCTAAATCGGACAGCGTGAACTTGAGTACGGTGTGCTGGCAGCAGCAATAGTAGCAGCAGCAATAGCAGCAGCAGCAATAGCAGCAACAGCAGTAGCAGCGACAGCAACAACAGCAACAGTAATCGCGGCGGTGCGGCAAGCAGCGAAGCAGCTTTTCAGCGGCTTGTTGATCGGATACGGTTGACCACCGTATCCTCTACTATCTCACGGTAGGTGCACCTTCCCCTATTGTTGTTAATAGCGTGCGATCCCGCGCAGCGTGCGCGAAGAGATTAATTGTTGCGTGCGAGCGGTTAGTTCGCGGCGAACGGGTTTTCTCTCTCTCTCTCATTTAGCGTGTGTTGTCATTCGCGCTAGCGTGCGCAAGTCTCTCGGCAAAACCCCCGTGTAATTGAATCGGTTAACTAAAGTGAACGTTAGTCTTTACTAAGTCTAGTCATCGTTATTTAGTCTTTCCTTTGTCCGGAGGTCGCGTCTATATTTGTTTACATTCGATTCGAATTAGCCGGTAGCGTAGCACGGATCACGCGAATACCGGTAGACGGGAATCGTCAACAGAGTTTCCAGCAGCGGCCGCACGAGCGCCACTAAGCAAGGGCGACAGCGCCGCCAAGCGGCGAGTTGGGGGAACCCAACTCGGAGTACCGAAGAGACTCTGCGCAGGCGCACTCCAAGACAAGGTAGGTTGATGTGCTTCGAGCACATAGATAACTAGGCGTCGTTTAGTCATTTTATAGGTACGTTCAAGAGATATTTTAGACTAAACGGCAGCCTGTTACAGCAGTTAAAATACACTTTCTATTCAGACGATAAAGAAACTCATAAAATCCAATTATGCCTTCTGTGAGCGAAACTGATTCGACTCTATTACCATTATATTCTAAATAATTATCTATAAAACGTAATCCGTGAACTTTACTAGATTTTTCATCAATAGCTTGACTTGGTCGTGTATACGTACAAAACTCAAATTCCCCAAATTTTGCAGCTATCTGTAAAATATCAGCTGTTTTAGCGAAGCCGCTCGTTTCTAAATCAAATAAAACTATTAACGGTTCGGCATTTTCAGAAAAACTGGCAATTGGAACGTATACGTCGAGACTTTTCAAAAGCTGGCAGTCTGATTCATATGTACATCCTTCAGTTAAAGCTGTTTTTTTTCTAAGCTCTATTTTCCTCTTTTTTAAAAAAAGACGTCGCCTTTTAAACTCGGGCGTCTGAGCATAAGCATATCTTTTGCGACGAACGCGGTAGCATTGATTTGCATATAATCTTATGTATTTACCTGGCGAACAATGTACTTTTTTACTTAATTCGCATTTATATATTTGACCTTCATTTCTATCGCACGATGTAACAGCCACTCTCTGCTGAGCAAATATAGTCTTACTGTACAATCTAGACTTCGAAGCCCTACTTACTATTGAAGCGTTCATACTTTCGTTCGGGTTGGTGAAAGCGCCGGCTGAGTATTGTTGTGTTCTATTAGCTAAATCATCAAAAATTCCTATAAGCGCGTCATAAAGATATGGGTTTTTGAACCCATCACCAATAACTTTGTGACGATAAGTATCTGGATTTGTTTTAAATTTGCACCAGGAACCACATAGCGCATGCAAGTTAAAGCTATGATTTGGTATATTTCTCACTGCATCAGTCATGCGTGCAGCGTCATTAATATTTTGAGAAACACAATAATTAAAACATTTATCCAAATAATTGATGCTATCACCATTTAGTTCTTTGAATTTAGGTTGGATTTTCCATAATGCTTTAGTAACTCCCTTGCTCTGATGATTTTTATCTGCTTGTTTTACAATCTCATAATTGAGAGAGTTACGCATAGCGGCAATCGCACTGCTGTCATTGTCAGTAATAATAACACCTACTTCAACATTGCAACTAGCCAATATATCATTATCTTTGGTAAGCTTTACGGCAGCATAAGGCTCCATCGCCTTGGCTGTTCCATAAAAATTCAATCTGCAGTCATGACTATCTTTACTAAGTCCTATCTCACATTTTTTACATACTCGATTCAATGTCATTGTAGATAAAACTTTTTTACTATATTTTCCCATAAGAGTTGCTGTTCCTGATAAGCTATCGTACGTTCTACCCGAACCTTTCGTAAACCATCCCATATCTAATGATCCAGCTATACGGACTTTATGATTATTTGTTATTGAATATATAGGTAATGTGACAGGAACATCAGGAAGAATAAATGATCTGTCCAGGTGGGGAGGCCTGAAAAATTTAATTAATTTTTTTCAATTTATTGGTATGTGATCTGTGATACATGTTGACATTGTACTTAAAAATAAAATAATACAAATGTTATTCGAAGACAGTAACTAAAAAAATGAAAAGAACAATATACTTATAGTAATATACAGGATTAGTATAAACTTACGGTGTGATGTCTTTGTAACGAAAAAAAAATATGAAATATAATTTACAATTTTTGATGACATACAATTTTTTTCATACATATTATTTAATGATGCACTTTTATCAGAAAAAGATTAGTCATTAATTTATTAGTATCTATGATCATTGTCATATTTTATAAATCAATCGGAGATTGTTGGCTCCAAAATTAATTTCATTAATAAGAAAAATATTCGAAGTAGATTTGTATTACCCGAACGTTGACAGTCTGTGCATTGTTATAAACCTACAGCATTTTTTCGACGTCTTCTATATTTTCAAGAGTCAATCGTCTCTCTTCAGCAACTGCTCGAATACAACTTTCTCAAGCTAACTCCTCAGCAGCTAATCCTACTTCGATCTCGTGAATTTTATAGGATTGCCAGTTATATTGTGGAACATTCAGTCCTGATAATAATTTGTTTATGTGTGTGTAACCCATTCCAGTATCCAAGCAGCCTGTAACAATTGATGGATTTCGTGAATCATCGTGTAACAACTATTCACTTCATGTATTTATGTACTGCATACAAACCTATAGCCGCTTTTGTATTCACATCAAAATGTGCTTTCTTGTCAGGCACTTCATGTTTCTCATCACTATTTATTGCAGTAACTGTTTGGCATGATCGACATTTCACATAAAAAATTGATGCCAAACTTATTTTTTTCTCGTCAACACAATCAACTAAAGACAGAATTGATCCACATTTGTTGCAGAATAGTTCTTGCGCCAGAGTGTCGAGATGGACGATTCGGCGTCCTTCAATAACAGATTTGGTTGCTGATGCTGTTACTGATGCTTTACTCTTTTCGATGTTCTCACTCCGTACTTTTTTTATATTTTTTCCAATCTGTACTTGCTTGCATCGCTGCTGATAAACTTTTTCTGTCACTCTTTTTCCTTTCCAAAACCACTTGTAATTTTTCTCACTCATTTTTTCAGTCCGTATAACATCAGGATACCTTTTATAGGTTAGCCCGCAAGCATAATAAATACACGCGGTAGCAGACGTACGTTGAGCGTTTAGAGCGGAGTATATGCGCGGCGTTGCCAAACTTACGATTGGTACTAAGCGAGTTAATATAAAGTCGAGGCGTTCTCTCAACTGACTAACTACGTACCCACCATACTCCCTTAAGTAGATTCAAACTTGGGTTGGTAGCAACCAAATTAAACCAAGGGAAAACGTTAATCGTTTTAAACCAGCAAGTCTAATCAACTCGAAATCGCGACAAACAAAAACTTATCATTATTGCTACCGCTCCTTCAACTCCAAATACCGGAGTCTGAACGCTCGAAGCTCTTCTACTGTGGGTGAAGAGGCGCTCACTCCGGAGAACCTATTGCCGGGAACCTCAGCCGCCTCGGGCTCAGTCACCCCGACGTCACGGTCAACCGAGAGACTCGCGGATACCGGCACCTGTCGGTCTGCGGCGTGAGCTCAATTCGTGTTGTGCTGGTCGCACTGGTTTGGGTTGGACCTTCCCTCGCGGTTAACGTTTTGCGTGCGAGCTTTTCCCGGTACCTCTTCCTACACCGGTGTCGGGGTTTCTTCGCTCTCGGCTCCCCGACAGAAGACTCGAGACTGGCCATCTCCGGCCTCGTCTCAGGATCCTTTGGTTCCGGCTCCACAATTTCCACCTGTAAAGCCTGAAGTCCTACGATCACTAGGGCGCTCCTGAGCCCTTTCCTCCTGCCTTAAAGGCATCACGGTAGCGCGGGTACTCGTGGACAAGGATGTCGAGTCGCCCGCAATTCCGGCAAACCAAACGTGAAAGAGGCTGGTTCAGGCAAACCAACCTTGGGTGTGATCCCGTTCTGCAATTAAAGCAGCAGAACGAGGGCACGTCTAACTCCGGGTCCAAGAAAACCAGAGCCAGGCCTTGCAGGAAACTACCCCGTAGCAAATGAAACCCGGTCTCGTCCACCCACGCGGAGAACGAGGCTGAGCTCGCCGCCGGGGAAGATGGGATAGGTCTTACTGGCTTAAGGGCTGGCCGTTCTGGCGCCACCGGCTCCACTATTCATGGGATCGGTGGCACCAAAACCTTCTTCCTCTTGCCGTCCCCTCTCGTCTTTCCAGCAGCGACGTCCATAACCATTCCTGAGGTCCCTTCCCCGTCGGCCGCCGAAGGAACCGGCAGCTGGAGGATGCGTGTTGCTTCAACAGCCGCTCCCTCCGCCGCCCTAGATGCCGTCGAAGCCAGACCAAAGGAGGATCTCTCAAAATTACATACGGGTAGGTTGAAACGCATTAAGAGTTTTCTCCTACTCGCATTTTATCGTGCCTCAGTCTCCTTTTTTCTCTTATCCTCCAAATACCCTGCTGAATGGTACTACGCAGGCCCACTCCTGCGGACCAATTAATACGCGCGGTCTGATCTTTGCTGCACGAGCGGTTTATAGGGGAAAGGAGCGAGGATGTGCTGCTGCGGAGCTACTCGAGCCAGCTTTCGAGCCGGCATCGTTTCTTCCTCGGAGTCGCTCGAGCTCAGAACAATCTCCAAAATACCATTGGTGGTATCTCGCACCGAAGTACTCCTATTCTCTCTTCCTATTGGGACCCTAGCTCTACGGCACCGATTCGCCGTCCTACCCGCGAGATAGCCAGCCGCGGCATCTCGAGAGTCCGGCGATTTCTCACCTTGGCTACTCCATTCCGCCTGCAAAAAAACAATCCCTTTCTTAGCCGTGGCAATTCTTGACTTCTCCAACGCTTCGCGAATGCAAAGCTTCGCGAGCCGAAATTCGGCGCTCCATTGTACCGCCTCATTCCAAGTGCCAGTTGGTGCAGCCAGACGGATAATCGATCCCGCCCTTCGGCTACCGGTCAACAAATGTATTCCTCGTCGGTCACTCACGAACGGCGTCAGAGGCGAAGGCAAAGGCGGCGGCACAGGAAGTTTCTTTGCCTTTCTGTTCTCGTCTCCACCAACCGACGCCTTAGCCAGCTACAAGGTACAGAAGGCAAAGCCGGTCGCCGAGCGGCTTGGCATGAGGTGGCAATGAAGCCTGCTGCTCAGCATGAGCCTCTCTTCTGTACATCGCCCTTTTTACAACTCTAAAAACCGTGTTCGCACCATCCGTAACACCTTGTCGCCTATATATCCAATGCGGTACTGCTGTGAGGACCCCCCTGATTTGGCTTATTGCACTAGTACTACGCTTGCCTTGATTTTGCGCGTATTGTTCGCGTGCGCGGTCGATCCTGCTATCCGACGGAGAGCGAGCCGATGTCGGCAACGCATTGTTAATACCGAGCCCAACTGCATTTTCGCCTGGCGGACGGATTGTTCGCAAGGAGCGGCAACACTTGCTCTCACCTGTCTGGCCTGCTCTTGTTCACGTGGTAACTCGGTCGTCACTCGGTGACCGTTTCTGGGACCATTTGAGGTCGACCTCGACCTCGAATGGTTGGGGCAGATACCGACAAATCCGAAGTCTCGGTGGAATTATTACCTACGGCCGTGGGGGTTGCTAATTCGATCCGCTCGCACTATAAATCCTCCCTCGGATCTTCGCACACTTCCGCGGATTCGTTCTACTCCAACGGCTCTTCATGCGGCTCGCGAGGATCGTTGACGGTCGCTTCCTCGCTTTCCTCTTCCTCCCCGGAACGTAATACGGCTTAACGTCTTTGGCATGGAAGAGTTTGAGCAGGATCTCTAGCTGATTACCCAGTCTGTACGTTTTGGAACCGCAAATCTCTTCAATCACGTACGGACCGGCGTATTTCAGCGCCAATTTGGTTGAAATGCCTTAGGCACCCGAAAAGAGAATCCTGTTTTTCTACCATACCAAATCTCCGATCTTAAACTCGGGTCGCCGTCTCTTCCGATCGCAATAAGCCACCTGACGCGCCGCTTCCTCCTTTAACTTGGAGTTGGCTAGCTCCCATAAATTAGGGAGCTTCTCCATATGTTCAACCCGATCTACCACAGCTTGACCCTCAGAAAACTCAAGGGCCTGCTGATCTTGGGATCTTTTGAACGTCAAAGGAAGTACCGGCTGACGCCAAAAATGAGCATCGTAGGACTATATCCGGTGGCGCTATGAGTTGCCGAGTTCAGCGCGAAGTTGAACTCTGACAGGTGTTCGTCCCAGCTCTTATGATCACAGCTCACGTACGACGTAATCATGCTTTTGAGCGTACTGTTTACTAGCTCTCTGGGATTCGCTTGGGAATAATACGCGGGAATCAAGGCGCGCTGAATGCCGTTCATCTGAAGGTATGAATCGACTTTCTAATTCTTCAACTCGGTTCCGTTATCCGACAAGAATACTTCTGGCGTACCGAACCTAGTGACAATCATCTCGTGTAATTTCTTTGCGATTGTCCTCCCATTGGCTTTGCCTATCGCTACACCCTCTACCCAGCGAGTAAATAGGTCTACAAAGACGAGAGTAGAAATATCTGATACGTACTCAAAACCTCTAGAGCTTTTGGGAAATGGGCCACTGATATCACCGGTCACCACTTGCCAGGGTCATGACACTTGTCTACGACCCATCAGCCCGCAAAGTGCCCCTTTTTCCACCTTGCATTGTTGACATACCGGGCAACTCTTCACGTACTCCCTCACCTGATGGTACATCATAGGCCAGTAGTACAAGCACCTAGCCCTTGAGAAAGTACGCTCTCGTCCTTGATGCCCTGCCGTAGGAGCATCATGGATCTTCTGGAGCACCTGGTGCCTTTTCTCCCTA